ATTCACTTGTCCGTACTGTCGTTAGTACTTCATTAATCATATATATGTATACCAAAATATTCCGACATCCCAAGATAATCTTTATCGAAATTCAAGGTCGTCAATACAAGGTCAAACTATGAACAACAGTTACTCTCGATTTATTGACCTTCTAAGGTCAGCCTCGCTTCGGATGCTCAGAAATAAAGACATTTCATTGGCATATCAGTCTCTTTGCTCTCAGTCATTGGTGATTTGACGTGGATATCATTTGGTGATGGTATAATGTGTACATACCGTACATGTACATTTGTATGTAGATGATGAGATTTCTGTGTGGTCAGCAGATTTCAGTACTTCTCTATTATCCCCCAACCCCATTTCCCTACCCCTACAAATAAAAAACAAAAACAAAAACACAGCGTTTGCGTTTTGCGTTTGTTTTGTCAGGGTCCATATCGTCACAGTACATGTGACATTATATCAATGATGTGCTGCGTCAATGAAACAAATTAGAATTAAAGTGATCCAGTCAGTGACGTATCTGTTGACGACAACACATACTCGTGACACTAACCAATGTGTGCTTTAAACATCTACTCCACAGGAATTCGCCACTTCTAGATGACCTACAGAACGATTGATACACAATTGTGTGACCTCAATACTTCTACATAACTTATCGTTCCTGTAATCTCGCTTCTCTATCTAGACTTTTTGCCGATGATACTTCCCTCTCTTACGCATCTTATGACGTTTACATAATCGAAATTTCGACTTAAGAAAACTCGAAGTTTGGTCGGAAGACTGGTCGATGTCATTAAATCCTAATAAAGCTGTGGCTTTAGTCATAACAAATCACCAACTACCGTTTATTCCAACCCTTATTTTCAGTAACACTCCTATCCAAGTTACTTACATAAATACTTAGGTATGATTCTTTCTAACGACTGCAAGTGGAATACAGACCAATTGGAGAAAAAAAATCATTTAGAAATTGCAAGAATACTTACTGGATTGCCTTCTTTTTGCTAGGAGACGATCGTTATATTCTGAAAATGGATTAGAACCACCTGCAAATCGTCGTTCTCGGAGAAAACTGCCGCTATTCTATAAAATTACAAATCAACAAACAACTAGTTACTTATCTACTCTGCTACCTCCCTTAGTATCTGAAAACTCCCATTATTATAACCTACGTGACGCGAACAATTACTCTTTACAAAATTTCCGACCTCGTGAACTAACAAAAAATTGTTTTTTTCCCGTCTACTGTTCGACTTTGGAACCAAATTGATCTAGAGATTAGGCAAAATACTTCATATTCAGTGTTTAAACATCTATCTCAGGCAGAACACGATACGTATCTATTTCTCTGTTGGAAATAGAAAGTCAAATATTTTGCATGAAAGATTAAGAAATAAATGTAGCACTTTAAAGAACGACCTTTTCCAATCTCAACTAATTGATTATCGTCACTGTCTATGTGGACATTCTATTAAGGATGTGCATCGTTTCTTCTCCGCCTGTGATAATTACCGAGAATAGAATTGTACCGAAATCTAGATAATTTCATACCGCTAGACCTGCAACTATTACTACATGGTAGCAGTGATTTATTCATTGAAGATATGATATGCGAAAACACTCAGATATACATTCTTGACTCAAATAGATTTTAATTCCTATCTCTGTTATCAGTGTGTTGTGGATTATTAATATTCTGATAATCACGTAAATAAACTATTTCTCTCTCTTAAAAAACAAATAATAATAATAATAATAAAATAATAATAAAAAGATTGAAACAAACTCCGAAAAGAGTAAGTTAATCAGTAGCAGTTTACTGCCGTTTGAGTCGATAACAGTTACCGTAATATTTCCTTGTAAGGATAAAAATGTCAAACATTTAATTTCACTTTCTGCACTGTTCAAGTGAACAGAATTATGTAACAATTGTTATCATGGTCACTCTTATTTTTTAGCATTAACAACAACCGGGCAATTTTTCTTGCCTGCATTACTACAAATTAGGACTTAATATTTGGATGTTTGGTGTATTGATCTCGGTAACACGTGAAATAATTTATATGATATCTTTATTTCAACCATTTTCTGAAAAGTGATGATAACAAAGTTTGTCTGACAAGATTTTTCAAAATTTTATAATTTTTGTTAATATAACACAACGGTAGCTGTAATTCATAAGACGCCGCCCTCCCCACGTCTACAAGACCGGCCTAAGACAAGCTGCAATAAGCCATACCAAGAATCAAACCACAGACGTAGATATATATAAGTCTGTACTTTGAAATATGTATGTAATTGAAGTTTTCATTTGTATCTATCAGATAAATGAAATTAAGCGATGCTTTTACGTTGTGGGGGCTAGTCCATCACCAAAGCGCCCCCCCTCCCCCCTCACTCCCCACCCATTCCGAACTGTAGATTTTGACGTTTCTGTCTATCGAATTTGATCGCCTCCAAAGTTTCAAAATTGAGGCCCCTAGTATTACTGACGAGTCCTAGAAGGACGAAACAGCTGTGTAATGCAGTTTAATTAATTCTATGGTGTTACTGTATCTTATTTTGAATTTGTATGGAGTGTCTCTTGTACAATCCTATATTGAAAACAACGAAATTAATTTGATTATGGAATAAATTCACCACCCTTTCTTCACTGGATTCTGCTAATTCAATTTTATGTCGTCGTGTCTTATGTCAGCGCGTCACTGATGTGTCGTAGAATGGCAAATATGATGCAGGCTTCTGTATCGTTTTACTATAGCGTGTTTAATTCGTTATAGTTTTTATTGAAATGTCGTTGACTTTGGTAAATCCTTTCCACTGGTGTTTATTTCTCTACACCCTTCATTAAATCACAGCTGAAACATCGAGATTTCACGTCTGATTTAACGTTTATACCATAACCTTGGTAATCCAATCGAAATATTGATCTTAACTTGAAGATATATTTTGTTTTCAATTTCTAATATTCTCTCGATGGCCTCTTCAGATTACTTGTTCGGAATATCTCTAGGATTTCTCAAAAGACCACACTAAATGTCCAAGGTGTCGAATGATAGACTTTATACAACTTAAAGGTACAACACACCGTTACAGACTTATATACAGACAGTGATATAGATCTTAACTATTCCAACGATCCCTATGCACACAGCACGAAAAACTGAGGTAACCAGAGGTACAGCGCATATGTTTCGTCTGTTATCCGCATGTCTACGAAAGCACGTGAGGGTATTCTATTAGTGTATGGCTTGACAAGTGAAGCCACTTTTTAAGTTATGCTTCTACATGGAATTAAGTTTACCAATATTATCACATCATTACCTACTTTAGCGTCTGAATTGTAGTTCTAACGATCATAACGTCACACATTTAAATGATAAAACCGTCATGTACAGTTAATTATCTGTCTTCAAATACCTTAATTATTTGTAATTACAGGTGTACTATAATGACGTGTTAATTATACAGATTATGATACGCCATCAACAAACCAGACCTTAGACTTGCTTGTATATCGTATGGTAAACCTGAACGAAATATGTACGGATGAAGTCAAGAATAACATTTGAGTTCCGTCTGAAACATCACGCTCTTTTAAGCATTTATCCGAAAGTAGCATGAAAGGTGAACACGTGATCAAAACTCTTCTTTGTTGGTAATTCTAAAAAATACACAACAGGCAAAAGTACAATAAGAATCGCGTTAAGTAATCTAACGACTGTGATGTAGAAAAAACTCTTCGTCAAATCAACAAAATCAATCTTTTGTCCTTTGAAGCCGAAGACAACAGGTATAACGACTTCCGTTTTTTCGAGCCATATGAAGAATCTAAGGTCGTGCGAAGCATTGGGAAACACATATGAGAAAAAAAGATAAATGAAGCCAAACAAAAACGAGAGATTACGGTAATCAGTATACCACGAGTAGACGGAGATGCTATACCGGGCACGCAATGATAACACAAAATGGACAGAGCAATGTCGTATGAGAAAGGATTTATCTAGAGAGACACCTACAGCCAGGAGACATTTAGGAACGTTCTCCCCCAGGCTGATACCAAGGTGAAACACGTTCTCATATGACTGGCTGGCTGTAGATGTCTCCCTGGGTGAAACACGTTCTCATATGACTGGCTGTAGGTGTCTCAATGGATGAAACACGTTCTCATATGACTGGCTGTAGGTGTCGTCATGGGTGAAACACGTTCTCATATGACTGGCTGTAGGTGTTTCCGTGGATGAAACACGTTCTCATATGACCGGCTGTAAATGTCTCCCTGGGTGAAACACGTTCTCATATGACTGACTGTATGTGTCTCACTGGGTAAAACACGTTCTCATATTACTGGCTGTAGGTGTCTCTCTACATAAAATACGTTCTCATATGACTGACTGTAGTTGTCTTCCTGGATGAAATACGTTCTCTTATGACTGGCTGTATGTGTCTCGATAGGTGAAACACGTTCTCATTTGACTTGCTGTAGGTGACTCCTTAGATGAAACACTTTCTAATATGACTAGCTGTAGGTATCTCCTAGAGTGCAAAAACTTCATTGTCATTGTAAAAGTAACCAATTTTCACTACCTTATCAATGTAGGAAAATATTGTTAGTCTGTGACGTTGATGGCAATTATTGATACATGGCTGCTGCTACAGTAACATGTCAATCGTCTCAACTCGACAGGTAAATCAACAGCATTCAGATACGAGGAAGAAAAGTCTCGGATTTTATTTCGACTATCTTCAGAAATTATCGACAACATATATGAATGAACACACCCTCCCCCATCTTTTGTTTCAATAAACAAAATAAAGACAAGTGTTCTAAGTATACTTCCTGCTGACGACCGATCCTCGGCCAAAGCGGAAGTAAATTGTAGGTCAAGCAGATGTTGAAAGTAATACAGCACTGTCTATAGTCGTACGCTGATTGGACAATTATTTAAGCGTCTCTATATAAACAGTATAACACGTGACAGAAATGACAGTCAAAGCTGGGGCTGGAAAGACAGCATTTCGGATTTGTGAAGAAAAACCCATTCGCTCATAAAGGTAAGACATAGACATATTTTTAAAACTCAAGTAACTATGCCGATTTATTGCTGACAACTGCGGATGTTAAAATGTTTGAGTTCTTGGTGGTAAGATCTCTCATGCATATTTTATGATAAATATCTAGTATCAAGGAAATTGTCGTTTAAAACCTCATGAAACATACATAAATCAGAAAAATAGATTTGGTCGTTAAGAGCCCCATTTAATTAAAAATGCAAATACATTGTTACACAGTATATTGTGTGTTCTTAACTCAATGAAAACCCCAGCATACTTTCAGTTTTTGCAATCACAACTGATGTTTAATTAAACCAAATTCTAGTGTTTAGAACTATCAATCTAATTGCCGAGAGACTGTTCAAGATAGGAACTTCATATAGAGTTTCCTTTCGGAAAAAAAAATTTTTTTTTTACTCTGCACACTATTTATTCGAAGGGGTTTCATATTGATATAACGATCTTGAATAAATTACGTCTAAATATGAAATAAAAATTGCTAAAAGTATACACTTAAAAACAACAAATTTAAACTTTTCAGCACATGAAATGAAACTTAATGTTTAATTAATACACATTCGTCTTCTTTATCTACACACAATTAACTTTAAAAAAACCCGACACCTTTAATATCGTGCCAGACTTTGCGTTTTATATATACTATCTTGTTTCATAGCTAGTTCAGCTACTTTTACAAAATGTTAAATTGTAAGCAGACGGAGTTATATAGTAATAAACGCAACACAGCTGCGGTATGTATATACACACGTGAGATTAACGGAGACTTTGTGCTAAACATCAAGGACATGACAGCCAGTAATTCTAATGATGTATCTGTACAGGACCTTGTCAATTGGTTTCTTGAAATACAGAAATTAATGGAGTGAAAAGACGAATGAGTTAACAAAATGATAACAACAACAAAAAATAGATAAATAAGATTGAAAGTTTTTGAACTCATATCATCTGCATATTGTACATTACAGACAAATATTCAGACACATCTGCCCTGTATCATTATACAGTGAACTGTCGAGAAAAATGTATCCTATTTTCTGAATTTAAATTAAAAATGGCCACAAAACGTCAGCCCGTATATAATATTGATAATAATATATATATATATTGTAATACATCTTATGTCTATTCTATTCTTTCAACATTTTTTCCCGTACGATCCTGGCTGTTTCTAGAGAAAGAAATCTGATATATACAATGAAACAACAAAAAAACTTTAGCGGCCGACGAGGATTGCCTCCGACCTTGTAATCTCCAGATACGTGTATCCTGTGAGTGGTGACAATGTGTGTACAACTGGTTCCCTTAAGATCCTGAATTTCTTAAATGCTTTATTAAGTACCATTTTTTTTTTATTATGAAATCATTGGTGTTGACTTGTAAATTTGTTAAAGTCACGTGGCGCAGTGATAACGCAGTCGCCTTCACCTAAGCGACCGTGGTTCGATTCCCTGATCCTGCGTGAAACCGATTGGGGTCACCTTCCGGAGTACGTTAGCTGCCACGGGTACTACGGTTTCCTCTCACAGAAAGAACCCGAGCGAGCAAACAAGAATGATTTATATAAACTAAAGCCTGTTTCCCCTTGTAATTGTAAATGTAAAATAAAGTTTACAGCGATTTTAATCTGAAGATGTTTGATAATAGAGTTAACACCGTCCGGGCTTGAAGTTACCATTTTTTCGTAAAATAAAATAAAAAAAAAAACGTCTACAAAGTAAGATAAGTGATTATTGTGACTCTGTTCTTTGACATGCATTGTATTAATTTTGAAAGATGGCACAGGGTGTTGGCTGGTACGGACTTCCTGTTTACGACATCGCATAATGTTATTTCGGGAACCTCTTAATTCATGTTACATTCACACTGAAAGTTACTATATTGCCACAAAGTTGGAAAAAAACACGACCCTGTGACGTATTAAACGTCTTGATCAATCATGCCTTTTTAGCTCGTGTGTTGAATTTTTATAGCAATTCGTAACTGATGACATTTTCGTTGAGCAGTGTTTAGTAGGAGCAACTTAACGAGGGTCTAGATTAATAATTTTCAAAATATATGATATATACACTTTAAAAACAAGGGATTGAAATTTCTATCAAAGATTGTACAAAAGACACAACATTAAAAACACCTATAAAGATAGATAGTGCATTAAACTGCATCATACAGCTGTAGGACTCGTCAGTGATGTTACATCATACAGCTGTTTCGCCCCTCTAGGACTCGTCAGTGATGTTACATCATACAGCTGTTTCATCCTTCTTGGACTCGTCAGTGATGCTACATCATACAGCTGTTTCGTCCTTCTGGGACTCGTCAGTGATGCTACATCATACAGCTGTTTCGTCCTTCTAGGACTCGTCAGGGATGTTACATCATACAGATGTTTCGCATCTCTAGGTATCGTCAGTGATACTGCATTATACAGCTGTTTCGTCCTTCTAGGACTCGTCAGTGATGCTACATCATACAGCTGTTTCATCCTTCTAGGACTTGTCAGTGATGCTACATCATACAGCAACAAGAAAATATATTAATCTGTGTTGATAGTCCATTTCTATCCGGATGTAAGCGGGAGGGAGAGTTAAAATCCTTGTCTTATTCTCCTTTAACGTTTTTCAGGAGTCTGCATGTAAATAATGCTTTATTTTCACATTTCGCCCTAGTTTTATTGAATCTGAGTTTGAATTATGATTGTGTTGCCATGTTGGTATTTTGTTGTTTCTGTCCTAGTTTTATTGAATGTGAGTTTGGATTATGATTATGTAGACATGTTGGTATTTTGTTGTTTCTGTCCTAGTTTTATTGAATGTGAGTTTGGATTATGATAATGTAGACATGTTGGTATTTTGTTGTTTCTGTCCTAGTTTTATTGAATGTGAGTTTGGATTATGATTATGTAGACATGTTGGTATTTTGTTGTTTCTGTCCTAGTTTTATTGAATGTGAGTTTGGATTATGATTATGTAGACATGTTGGTATTTTGTTGTTTCTGTCCTAGTTTTATTGAATATGAGTTTGGAGTATGATTATGTAGACATGTTGGTATTGTGTTGTTTCTGTCCTAGTTTTATTGAATGTGAGTTTGGATAATGATAATGTAGACATGTTGGTATTTTGTTGTTTCTGTCCTAGTTTTATTGAATTAGAGTTTGGATTATGATTATGTAGACATGTTGGTATTTTGTTGTTTCTGTCCTAGTTTTATTGAATGTGAGTTTGGATTATGATAATGTTGACATGTTGGTATTTTGTTGTTTCTGTCCTAGTTTTATTGAATGTGAGTTTGGATTATGATAATGTAGACATGTTAGCATTTTCTGGTTCTTTTTATGATCAAATATTAGTTTATGATCGCTCGCGGAGTCGGACGTGTTTGAGAATAACAAGTCCAGTATGAAAATATCTAATGGAAATTAGCTTTAACTAGTACAATAATGTGCGTGAAGGACCACCGCAGATTTACATTTTAGAAAACGGATATTTCGTTCCGGGTCCAAAGAGATCTACTTGACCTATGACAAGATTAGGGATATTTGACATTTTTTCAATGCTGTCTGTCATAATTTTTCGTTCCTCGGTTCACAACACATTTTATCTGAATGTTGAGCGCCTGCCCATTCACAGTAGTCATTGGGTCTGTTAAGAACTCAGTCTCTTGACTAAAACAACCAAAGCCTATTTTCAATCGCTGCCAACTTATGTCCATTCTACATCTACTATTATACCACCTTTTGCTGTTAGGACTGTCCATCCGCTGTCCGTTGTCATTATGATATAACCGGGCGTCATACTACATCTACCATGTCTTTGTAATGAAAATTCAGTGTGATTGCACTATAAGACTTCCGATATCACCATCATCCTTGGACACAATCTACGTATGAATGTATGACTGTTGGAAAGGGAACATGTAGCATGGAAAATACTGAAGAGAATTCGGAACATGGAGGCTAAAAATTGAAAGTGAATTCGGAATGTATAGCCCGAAAAATACTTAAGAGAATATGGAGAGTAAAACAAACAGAATGACTAAAGTTAATAGTAAATCCATGTCGTATCAAGCCAACTAAAACCTACATCAGTATCATCCCAATCATTAACTGATATATCAACTGCTAAGTGAGTTCAACACACTTTTTCCTGTCTGTTTGACCCTTGGAATGACCCACTCTCGCCTGAGATAATGTAACTGAATTTCTTACAAGAATAGATTCTAATCGAATAATCAGATAGGTTGACTGCCATCAGATCGACTCCATCTCAAGTAGTTTTTTTCCGTTTCACTCTCTCTTATTTAAAAATCCCAGTCTTAGTAAACATGTAAAACCTATATATAGAGTCAAATGTAAAATTGTCAACAAAACACCAAACTGTATATAGTGTAAATAAAATATCAAACTATCCCTACACACCAAACTGTAACTAAGTAAGCCCTATATATAGTATAAAATATCAAACTATCCCTACACACCAAACTGTAACTAAGTAAGCCCTTTATATAGTATAACATATCAAACTATCCCTACACACCAAACTGTAACTATATATAAGTAAGCACCTATATATAGTATAACATATCAAACTATCCCTACACACCAAACTGTAACTAAGTAAGCCCTATATATAGTATAACATATCAAACTATCCCTACACACCAAACTGTAACTAAGTAAGCCCTATACATAGTATAACATATGAAACTGTCCCTACACACCAAACTGTAACTAAGTAAGCCCTTTATATAGTATAGCATATGAAACTATCCCTACATACCAAAATGTAACTAAGTAAGCCCTTTATATAGTATAACATATCAAACTCTCCTTACACACCAAACTGTAACTAAGTAAGCCCTATATATAGTATAAAATATGAAACTCTCCCTTCACACCAAACTGTAACTAAGTAAGCCCTATATATAGTGTACAATATCAAACTGTCCCTACACACCAAACTGTAACTAAGTAAGCCCTTTATATAGTATAACATATCAAACTATCCCTACACACCAAACTGTAACTAAGTAAGCCCTATATATAGTATAACATATCAAACTATCCCTACACACCAAACTGTAACTAAGTAAGCCCTATATATAGTATAAAATATGAAACTCTCCCTTCACACCAAACTGTAACTAAGTAAGCCCTATATATAGTAAAACATACCAAACTCTCCCTACACACCAAACTGTAACTAAGTAAGCCCTATATATAGTATAACATATCAAACTATCCCTACACACAAACTATCCCTACACACCAAACTGTAACTAAGTAAGCCCTATATATAGTATAAAATATCAAATTATCCCTTCACACCAAACTGTAACTAAGTAAGCCCTATATATAGTATAACATACCAAACTCTCCCTACACACCAAACTGAACTAAGTAAGCCCTTTATATAGTATAACATATCAAACTATCCCTACACACCAAACTGAACTAAGTAAGCCCTTTATATAGTATAAAATATCAAACTCTCCCTACACACCAAACTGTAACTAAGTAAGCCCTATATATAGTGTGATATCAAACACCGACCACACATGACAGCTAAGAAATATATATATATAAGATCAAGTGTGAAGAATAACCTTACACCATTGTGTGCGATAAGTATAGAATGACAAAACGCTCGTAAACATGTCCTTCCCAACTACGAGCATTTTCATCTTTAAATTATTGGCTTCCTGTTTCATTTAGCACCTCAACAACCACTCCAGTCATAAGAATGTGAACAAGTACTGACGCATATTAAAGTCGGTCACATGACCACGCGTGGCTGTTTGTTATCCCAGTTATAGGACAAGTACTTATGACTTACTAACCATCAACCACAGCGTTACCTTTATCGATCCATATATAGCTCTTTTATATCCCTTTATCATGTTATTTGTCATAAGAATGTAAAACGGCGTAATTTTTTAAACAAGAGATCATCAAGAAGTACAGTTACGCTATTATTTTATATATGATTTCCAGCGGTGTATCAATTCATGGATATTTGAGTTCGTGAATTGGGAAGAATTAGAAATAAGAGAAAGGACAGATACATATAATAACCAAACTCTGAGACAATCAACTGTTTCCGCATGTACAGTAATATAATGTATTGGCACGATTGATAAACGACCTCTGATTAAAATAAAAAAACACTTTTATCATAGAATAGTCAGTTAGAGATTTGGCCTACGTAACTTCAGGAAAAGATCTAAGATTTGTGGTTCAACGCTGCCCGACCGTAGTCGTTTGTGTTTCTCAGTAAGCTGAGAAACGGACCGGTCTGTCCTGACGTGGTTATGTCCTTGAGCGAGATTCATTACCCGAATTTCTCTAGACAGCGTGTGATGGTTCTCCCGTATGTTGTTCATTCAAGTAGCTACCAGTCTTAATTCGCCTTAAAATAACACTGGATGTTCACGAGGTTATAAACCAGAAACAGGTTATCTCTTTTATCGCTTTATAGAAATCTTATGAAAGGACTGATAAGGTTTGTTTGTTATTTAATTTTATGTTGGTATGGTGTAACGATACACATTGTAGTTGAAAGGATTGTCAATCATAAAGTTCAGATGATACCGTAAACCTTTGACTTAGTGACGTCACTGAGCAGTCTTCGTTATACTCACACAAATTAGTCATAGGAAGGAAACATGATATAGTGATATGGTCATAATTTCTAAATGATATCGTGGTACTTAAAACTCTTTGATCTATCAAGATGTCAATCATAAAGTTCAGATGATACCGTAAACCTTTGACTTAGTGACGTCACTGAGCAGTCTTCGTTATACTCACACAAATTAGTCATAGGAAGGAAACATGATATAGTGATATGGTCATAATTTATAAATGATATCGTGGTACTTAAAACTCTTTGATCTATCAAGATGGAAATTTGATCACCGACATTATGTAACTGACGAAAAGGAAAAGAATTGTAGAGATGTGAATATGGACTATCAACTGTTGGTTATACAAGTCACGCGTGGGCGGTATGTTATATATAACAGCGACACACATCAATTGAGATAAGACCAATTGATAATTGTCGGTTTATATAAAAATACCATTCTACATTGCGCAAGACTTTAACATTGATCTGCTTTCGTGGGTATACAGGAGAGCCTCACGTGAAAGCATACATACATAAACACACTTAGTAGTTTAAAGCTATGAAATAGAATTTGCAAACCCGATTCGGCAATACATATGACCTATTGGCAGATTTTTGTACCAAAGACACTTTTAATACAAAACCAGAGTTAGATAAAATGGAACTAAACAATGTTTAAACTGCATTTTACATGTGATAATCACCAAGAGATGGTGATTTATAATAGTTAGACATTTGTGTCCTTTTCTTGCTTCACTTTTTTTCTTCCTTGCGTCCTCCTTGTCACCGTTTCCATTTTGTTCTTAAAGTTGAGCTTTCATCCGAAACTACGAAATCTAAAAAGGTCATATCTATTTTTGTTGATTACATCAAAAACCTTGAGACATTAGACTGAAAAAGAAACAATAAAAACATTAAAAAAAAAACAAAAATCCGATACGTAATAGACATCATTCGGCAAACCAAACCTCCGCCAAGTCATAGAAATCATTTGACAAATAAAACCTCCGATACGTCATATTGATCTTTCGGCAAACCAGAACTCCGCCAGGTCATATATGATTTAGTTAGTATGAATGTTTTTTAATAAGGAAAACATGTAATTGGTGGTATAACACAGATATTCATCGCGATACAGCAATTTTACATTACGTTACAACAGTTGACAGATGATTACATAAAATACCATCACATAAACTGACGAAAAATGACATCCAGCTCGCGACGTCATGATTGTAACATGGACAGCTCACCTGTTTAGTTATGAACAAATTTATTATTAACACAAGAGATAAAGATGAATAAGGTATGTTATTTTGAGTATTAAGATGCCTTGTTGTGGCATTTACAGTCGTTGTAAATGACAGAGATTTGCAGCCAAACTTGGTATCGGTTGCTACTTTTTAAGACCGTAAATGCTGTATCACGAGAATACAATGTTTAAATAAATTTAAATTTATCCTTCTTGACACGACAAAATGTCTCCTCACTTTAAACGTCTGATAGGGCGAGTGAACCTCTGTCCTACCAGAAAGACCTTTACGTTTCCGTCTGCGCAAATCTGCAGCAGTCGATCCGCAGTCCCCGTGACAACGCATAAGAATTTTAACTTTTCTCTATTAGTGCAAATAACAAATAACGAAACGTGATTTTGTCTTAACTTGTGAATAGAGAACATAGTAAATTACGAATATTTCTGAGACTGGGCAAACACACCATGTATCCTTTATTTACTTTTGTTCAAATGTTTATTTTCCTCTTTTTTCTTTAACAGATAAGTCGCAGTTCTGGTCAATCTTTTTAAAATGGCAAACGTGACGCCTTCCATGATTTCAAACGATACGGCAATGGATGACGATGCCATGGCGATTGCTACCAAGATGCATTGGTATTCCAGTGTCGTTTTCGGAATCATTTTCATGATAATTGGACTCACTGGAAATAGCTTATCAATCTTGGTGTGGAGACGGAAGGCGATGAGATCTTCTACCGGAACGTACCTGATTGCTCAGGCGATAGCAGATTCTGGTCTGCTGGTATTCTTCTTCATCATAGATACGATCAAAATGATTTGGCCCGAGATCGCGAAGAGTTATGCGTATGGGAGTTTCTTTTCGTACATCGGCTATCCGATTTTCTTCCTGTTTGTTGTCTGTAGTATCTGGCTGACGGTCGGGGTCACTGTCGACAGGTACATACAGGTGTGCTGGATAATGCACGCCAAGGTAAGTCTTGTTCCTTATTCATCATGCACCGCCCCTCCCCTTTCATTGAAGGTTACAAAACGTTCCCATCCACTTTGTAAAATAATAATTCAACAACATCATAATTAAAATCAAATTGCAAAACACAAAGATAAAATAAAGATTAACATGGAGTGAAGACTCTTGAAAACGTAATAGGAGAATAAAACCAGGTGTTCCGGAAAAGAAAGCATCTTCTGCTCCATCGACGTCATGTAAATCTTGGTCCATCCAAGTAAGTAATGTCCCTTTCCCAAATAAGAACAAGGAAAACAACATTATGTAACCACCAGAAACATGTACAAAATACCAATGTTAAACTTTACAATATGCAGAGTTAATATAGGCAAACTGTACAGAAAGGGATTGCAACATGTTGGAGTCAGTCCAAGTAGAGGCAATACGCATAATGACTACTGGCTTGCTTCCACTATAGTAAAACTAAGACACTTTTATTTTTTATTAATGTTCCTTTTTTTTGTTATTTTTTTTTTTTTTTTTTTTTGTTTTTGTTTTTGTTTTTTTTTTTGCTTTTTTTTTGGGGGGGGGGGGGGGGGGGGGGGGGGGGGGGCGGGGGGTAGGGGAGGAGGAAGTTTTTCATTGATTCAGTCCAATCTTTTACAATCAATAATACTGATCGTTATCCTGTTCGACACATAAGGCTCTTTGACGTACCATTAGCAAAACCTAATTTACATGACATTCATTTTTTTCAAGAAACATTTCTGAATGGAATGGTCCATCTTATTGCTTGTTTCCCTCAGTGACACACGTGCCATTAAACAGCTTTTGTTACAGCCGGTTACTGATGCACTTTCCTAATTAACCTCTTTTCACTATTTAAAGACATTTCCTCCTTATCTCCTTTCTACTCTATATAATTCTTTACCACTAGCTCTTGAAACATTCATTGAGAGTTCCAATACACTTGATGCGAATATAGATTAATCCATTTTAAGTTGATTCAGAGGTCCATTACCGATACTGGACGCCTTTTTTTAAGCTGTCTGACCTCGAAGTCACAATTACAATAAGATGAATTCGCATACTGAAGTTATGGTAATTATTACTGAAATAAAATTGAGTTTTTTTTTAAAGTAAAACCAATTTTCATGATGCAATACTTACCATTACTTTATGGAGTCCCACCCTTTCCTCCCTTTTCTTTCTCTACCTGGCTACCCCTTTGATGGGTTCCATAAAGATTTTCGAGGAAGGGAACTTTGGGTGTGCTTGTCAACCCGGTACAGGAAACTACCTGTCTTCATTTAAAGGGACATTTTGCCTTAATCTTGACGTAACTATACATTAAATTTTCACTCATTAATGATAACTGGTGGTAGTCTCTTCTTTTTATCTATTTATTCATTTAAAAAAGAACAACATGCTAAATTCTTATATTCCAGTGTCAGTGTTATTGAATTACATTCTAAAATTTACTGACCATGTGATTGATGTGTCTGTGCACTTGTATATTATTGTATTGAGCGGTATTTCATAGGCTGTTTGTCATCAAGCTGTTGACAATAAAATGTTCTGAAATAACGAGATATCCACAACTTACAGTACATTCTATAAAACAATAAATGTTTAAGATCTTTTCTAAAACATTTATATCTTTGTATTTTAAAATTGTATTACTACTTTCATGTTTCTTTGTTTAAATGACGCTCGGCTCAAAGAATTTTTAACATGATATATCTATTTTTTTTAAATCACAGTTTATTCTCAAGTTAAATGCCCCCTCTTGTCTTATCGGATAATTAATAAATATTGATTCGTCTGTTTTAACATAAATAACAAGGCAGTGACCTGACGGTTTTAAGTATCTTAATTTCACATCTTTTACGGAAGTCGTTCAACTTCCAAAGATCATAAAAGTTATTATTCACATTTCATGTCACAACAGCAAAGCACTTAAAAGTCAGTGGAAATATTATCAAATACAGCCAAGCAAAGCTATTCCGAAATCGTAGTTCAGTTCGTTTCACAAGGTTACGAAACCTAAATTATACGAAACGAAATTGGCATTCTGAAGACATTCTCAACGAAATATGATTACTATGATGTTTGGTATCATTAGTCTGAGGTGAAATAGACAGCAATAGGCAGCATACACGTGCACTCTGTAATAAATACCGAATGAAGAAGTTCGAAGAACTGGGTATTATTTCAACCAAGCATTAAAAAATCTTAGTCGTAGCAAATAATTATAATGATACGTCATCAAGTAAAATTTGAACGTTGTATTGTCATATTAAAGTTGAAAACAAATGATAAACGTAGTCTGAGATTAAAGGTTTTTTTTAAGACGGAAAGAAATCGATAGAAAATTCCAAAAAAAAACAATGACAATAAAGTACTGGCCCATTAAGATGACAATACATTCTCGGTTACAACCCGTTAGCTTGACTCCAGTAAGTCTGGGTCTTTTTATCTTCTGGTTCTAAAAACCGCAATAATCGTTATATTAACGACATATAGAAACTACAATTACGAAATAATGTGTTAATGTTTTAAGGTCATAATCACGTCACGCGCTATTAATGTAAGACAACCACGGAAATAGGTACTTTCACCGTATTTGTTTTAAAAACCATTTTACTCGCCGGAATGTAACATTTCAATATTTTTACAATTCTACATTTTTTTTTATTTGCTGTGATCTGCCTGTGTGTTTTTACGAGGAAAGATCACGAAGTAAGAAATAAGAAATCATTCCACGTAAAATTTCTAGACAATACAATATAAACCCAAATACACAGGAAGCAGATGAAACACGCGACAGTCCTATAATTAATTAACGAGTTAGATGTCGTTAAAAGGTTTTTAACCTGATTTATTGACAAGAGTTAACTTACATTGTGTACAGTGAACGATACAAATGTTACTACCGGGTACTTGTATGTCAAACTTTTTAACTGCTCCATTAGAATACATCACAAACAAGGAAGTTTAGCCTTTCAGGTTGTTTACTTACGAGAAATGGGTCAGGGACACGCATTCGCATCAAATAACAGTGTTACATAACAACTTACAAAAAGCGAATTTCACTCCTGTTTCTAATATCGAGCTCGTCGCAAATCGCTTATTTCATTAAATAAATTCTGAATTTACTTCCGAAAGGAAAGGAGTCGAGTATTAAAGTGCGTCTAATCTAAGAGGACTGTAAAGCAATATAAACATACAAATACGAGAAAACAGTTCGCTGTTGTGTTACTCGTTGAAGTTGAGAAAGTTATTGTATTTGTTTGAAGCACGACTGTTGCACACTTAGTCACACAACAGAACACTAAAACCCTCAAGATCGACGACGCGCACAAGCACAATTCCAATGTTGACTGTATGCTGTTTGCGTGATATGATTTCGCTCAAACCTCATTTAAGACTCTAAGTCAAAGAGAGATCAAATTGTAGAGATCATTTGAATCATAATGAGTGGGCCCATCGCCTCTAGCACGTGATCGTGTATAGCACAATGTTGCAGCTGAAATAGCTTTCGTGTAACCATTTATACTTTGTTCAATGTTGAAGAATGCTGGGGTTGCCTTTATTTTCACTCCTTTTTTATGGTCACTCCGGACACGTTTTCTATAATTAAGTGTGATATTCAAATTCAAATTGAGTTAAATATAGCCGAAACGTAGTAAAGGCGTTGTTTACTGATTGTTTTGCCAATTAATGGACAATGACACGTGGTACATAAATTCCTGATTGGATGTTATAATACAAGTAATATACATCGTTTCCAAACAATACTTAGTCAACATTTAAAAGTGGCATCACTTCTGAAGAAAGATATCATTCACGAATAGATAAACATACCAACAACAAATGTGTGTGCTATAATTGTGACAAATGAATATGTATGTACAATTCACATGTGTCTTTCACATACTATTTTACAGACGATGTGCAACGACAAAAAAGCTTACACAGGCATTGGTATCATCACATTTCTGTGCTTCGTCATCAACTTGCCGCATTTTATGACGTACCAACCGCTATCCGCGGACATGCGCGGTCCTGATGAAGCAGCTTTCGGCCCAACAGAGTTTGGAGCTGGTGAGGGAAGCATGCGTTATGAATTCTGGGTCCACTGTATGTTCCTCGTTCTGGTTCCCTGGGCATCCATCTTCATTCTGAACATGCTGATTATCCGTCAGGTTTCCAGCGCTAATAAACGAATGGAGGACAAGAGGAGTTCTTTCGCTAGCGAAAAGGGCAAAAGGTCAGAAAGCCAAATCACCCGCATCCTCTTGACAGTGACCTTCACCTTCCTCGTGCTGATAGCTCTTCAGTGCATCACCCAATGCTTTTTCATGTTGAAGAATGCAAAGGTTTGTGTTGAAAATTTGTAAATATCTTAATGTCGATTTTCACAACAAAATAATAAGAAAAAAATCATAGTATAAGATCATCTGCTCAGTGAAAAATAATTAGCACATTGTAATTCGTGGCACTGAACATATGTAGGTACATTTTCTTTAACTCACGCGATCAAAAAGGCAATGCCATTTTCCCCCTGAATAATTTTCTTTTTTTTCTCTCTAACCGGTACCAGGGTGACAGAAGGATCATCAACGAAGCCTTTGCTGTGGCCAAGCTTGGAATCGTCATCAATTCTTCAATCAACTTCTTTCTCTACTGCTTAACTGGTCGACGCTTCCGGAAGGAACTTGGTCATGTCCTGTTTCGTAACTGCGCATGTGCACGGAGTCACATCAACATGCACGAGTCGAGTACAAGCGACAGCAGTAGATCAAGCGTCCAAAAGAGCAAGTCGTCCCTGACATCTTCTTCAAAGCTCTAATTACGACAACAATGACTTGTGATCTGAGACACAGGAGTACACGTTTTGTTACTTAATATTCGTCAGTCTTTAGCTTTAAACGTACGTGTTCCATAAGTTTACAGTGTTAGAACTTCGTCCAATGATAAGATGATCCAAAGGAATTATTGAATATGAGAAAATAGATTGTCCTAGTTCTTTTAAATTCGCTATCTGCTACCACAATTAACAGCGAATATTTGTATTCAAAACAAAACCAGTGTACAGGGCAAGTTCAAAAATGTGAATTTTGTAAATACATTTGCTTGATTTAGGGACTAAATGCACGCTATTGTTGTTATCGGCTTTGTTTTATCTGTTAAAATATATTTTTTCATTAATCAAATATTGATATTGGTTTACATGTGTTTTGTTTTCATATTTCCATTTTCATATTAATATTTTAGCGAAATATTTTGTAGTTACTCAACCTAACACGTTCGCATGAACTGGAACGATGAACATTTGGAAATTGTCCACCAACTGATATTCGAAATATTGACCAACGAACGTTATGTTAATGCTGGTACAGAAAATAGGGAAGTTGTGAAATGAAGTACTTAGCCCCGGAACTAAATGCTCCGAAGTCTAGGTTTTATCTATTAATCAAAATTGGATATCTAAGTTGATAACTGAAACTTAATCTCGAAATAATTATTAATTTCAATTCCTAATGCCCATCGGAGGTATTCTCGTAGCAAAGCAGAAGCTGCATTGTAATGTTTATCGAGGAGGTATTCACATACATACAAATTAATATGTTATGTGTCCTTGGGAAGTCATGGATTCCTCAATATTTTCACTACATAAATATTTATTGATTTGTGTGTCTAATCACAATAGTGTACTACACAAAGGTTATTTTGTGAGTGTAGTTATAATTAATTCCGGGTTAACATAGATCAGGTATTCCAAATAATACAGATAGTTAAATTATTCTGACATGCTATCAACTTCTAAGTAAGCCATTCGGCGGGTTTTCGCGATAGAAACAAAGCAAAAGGGCGAGGTGACAGACATCAGTTACAGTAGCTTTTGGTTAAACCCATCGCTTTTCGTCACAAAAAACACATCAAAATAAAACCAGACTTATATGACGGCCACAAGCGATAAAGACTGAGTACAGCTAGGTATATAATTACTCATTATTGTCATTACTGTACGATAGCTATGTAACTGAAGTAATTCGCTGTCATTTATCACGTTCACATCGCAGGCGACAATGGATCAGATATATGGACTCCGAGGTCAATATTACATGAAGTGGCGTATCGCCATATTCGTCCCTACAGGTCCGCTTGTTGTCAGTAGGGAAAACTCGGGCATTATGAAAGGAAACCTGTTTCGATCCTAGAATTCATTGATCAAGTTAGGATAAAGAAATTGAACTAATGACGAATTTTGTAATATATGAAGAACATTTCTTTTGAAAATTACCTTTTGCACTTAAAATTCTATGTATTTTTCGGCATTTACGCGTTTTACTACAACTCAACTGCCATATAACTCCCTTTGTCTACATTTCACAGATATTAAGCCAACACTGGCGTCATTTTCGTCAACTTTTTTTTCAGTATTTTTTTTTATTTTGCTCTTATCTTGCTATGAACATTGGCTAGCATCATAACAATATTTTATTGAATACGTGTATTTAGATATGCTGTTGTCTATATGACGTACCAGACATTTATTGTGTTTACATTTACCAGAAAGGCAGTTAAAATCCACTAAATACGACATTGCGAAGTTTGTAAATGTATATATTTTATCTTGTTAATAAAATGTTGTATCGCATTTCGGTTGTGGTTTGTATTTATCAGAATATTCTTCTTTGGTCTCTGAAAGTGATTGACTAGCTTACTTTGTGAGTGTGATATGAACACAAGTTTAGTTGATATGAAACAGTACCAAATACGATTTCTAACATGTTAACTAATTAAATGAACTGAAACATATTCAATGAATACGCCATCATGACCACGTCACGTGATCAATCATACTCTTGACTGCCATTTTTATTGGCTGAAATAAAAAGAGAGCAACCCCGTTAAAAATTCCAACAGGATCAAGGTCTGGTGCCTCTAAATGAGAATATATTTGAAGAATCAAATTAGATATTTATTTTGGTATCAAATATTACATTTGCGTCAATGATAAATCTCGTTTTTATCCAAACCTTTGGGTATATCCTTTCGTCAGTACATCAGAAAGTGGATTTTCTGATGAAGAGTTTCGTATTTTTCTCATTTTTTTTTTTTTTTTTTTACGTTTTGATGATTATAGACCTCAGACAGTGATTAACTTTTCTGGTGTCAGAAGAGCATACATATTACTATTAAAATCTTATTCATTTTGATGGTTATTTTCCTGTATGGAAACATTTCCTTGGTGTCAAGTTACTTTAATGAACTCGACAAAGTTTTACAGATCTTAGTTTGTCGTCGGTATAACATACATATATTACATGATATTGTCAACGCATTTCGTTGCACTGGCATGATTATACACTGTACATATCAAAATTAGCATCCGCACATCCCAACCAATCTCTACAAGCGTTGGGATTTGAAACCATATCCGCTTTGACTTGTGGGTAATTGATTACGATGTCATTTTCTTCTACAATTTAGTTGAAGCTAGTATGTCTGGCAAACTGCCCACCCACAGAACTATGCTTAAATAAATGTGTGTGTAAGTGATTTTTAGTATTTACTCAACTCCAGCTTTCTAGTCCCTATTTCCATAAGTCCATTTAAAGCGCTTGGGAGATTTCGGGAAGAGAAGTCTCTAGAAAAGTCAACTATTTCTAAATGGAACAAAATTAATCTTAAACATATATGTTTTCAGTTTTCATATTTGTTTTGTCTATCAGTATAACAATGATCGGGTTTTCAATACCTTATTTTAAAATTTAGTTCTTTGTGTGAATTTTTCTTTTGTTCATATTGTGTCCTATCTTATTGAGTTTGAGTCTGGATTATGATAATGTTGACATGTTAGTATTTTCTTGTTTTTTTTTTTTTTTTTTTTGTGGTTGATATTCTCACTTCAGTTCCGCTCCATATATTTAGATTTCACCTTTTAACGATGTCAACATTAAGATATAAGTCAATATTAACATAGCAATATCTGCCATATCTACATCACAAGTCCCAGTCAATCAGTGATTGTGTCATGCATCACAGATGTCCATAGTCTCTCTGTTGTTGAAAGACGAGGATATATCAATAAAAGGAGTTAACAACAAGAAAATACCAACATCTGAAACGAATCATAATCCAATCTCGAATTCAAGAATTCTTTGGCAAAATATGAAACACGAAATACACTTCAGTAAATGTACTGTATTTGTACCATCGCCCACCTTTCTTGGCAAAGGATGCGTCACAGGAGAATGAATTCGGTGATATACAGAAAATGATATGGTCTTATAGAAGAAATGTTTTTGAAAGAGGGTGTTGGAGTTTGGTCAAAAGCCCCATGTAACACCCTCCCCCCCCCCCCCCCCATTCCCCTCACCCCCCCCCCCCCCCCAAAAAAAAAAAAAAAAAAACTCCCTTTATTTAAGTTATGACAATGACAACTACAAACTTTTTACAGGGTTAACCAGCGTCACCACCACCACCACCACCATCATCATCGTTATAACACCAAACATTTACAATGTGACGACACTCTCCTCCAGTAAGCATTCAATCATCACACTAGAGAGAACTTTACTGACACACCGAGATCGTGCATGAGATAAGATGAAATTCAAGCGACGAGAAATCACAAAAGCGATGATGTGTAACGTAAAATCAACGAAGTTAGTATTTACCACGAACACCGCTCAAGTTATACAAAGAATCAATAACGCAGGACGGCGGAACAGATCCCTGAGGAATGCCTGCTTCAGTTTTTAAACATAATTATAAGACAAAGGAAATGTAATTGAAACATGGTCCCATACAATCCATTTGTGAGGGAAACATTCCCGCATGGGCATTCTTCTTAATTGCATGACATGCTTATTCCTTTCACTATTCTGGTATTGATTTCACGTGAATTCCTGATTAGAATGTATCGTTAACAAAGCTTCATCGTTCAAAATGATTATGGAGTTTACAAAACAAACTGCTAGATTGCCCTCTTCAATCAGAACTAATGAACCTTTTAAAGGACAAGATTTACACACAAAAGCCTAGGTGAAGACACTTTATTCTTATTGCTCTAGCTGCTACGACTCTCCCGCATGATGTTCAACGAAGTCGTCATCAGCAACTACCACGTTACCTCGCCTTTAAATGACTCTGGCTGTTTATCATTAGAAGTTCATAAATATTACATGTATTCCAAAAAGTCAGAAAAAAATATATATACATATATTTCAACGCATCTTCCTTGTTTACAGTCGTGAAATGCAACATGGACTCGGTATACTGTAACAGAAACATTAGTTGTGCAATTATCAGCCAGTGATAACCCGTCCATACTGATCATATCACAAAAGTGCAAACCCCAGGCTATATAAACATAAACCTGTGTTACCTCGGCTGTCAAGCACTCGACTTTTACTAGATTTACATTCGAGGTTGTTTAATATTTCATATCAGACTGACAAGACATTGATGTACAGGACAAAAGCCGGGGAGACTGTGATGGGTGATATGAAAATTTTCTTTGCGTCGTGTCTCCGATAACATGTTTATTACGGGGAAGCTTTACATGTATTAAAGTTGCACACTGTCTACGTAATGTTATAAATATTTCCTGAGGATCCTGGGAGTAATGAAACATAAGTCTGTTGTTGCTGTTGTTTGTGACTATTGTTGTTGTTTGTTATTGTTTTTGTTGCTGTTGTTGTTTGTGATTGTTGCTGATGTTTTTGGCTGATGTTGTTGTTTGTGTTGTTTGTGATTGTTGTTGTTTATGATTGTTGCTTCTGTTGTTGTTTGTGATTGTTGCTTCTGTTGTTGTTTGTGAGGGAGAGGGAGGGGTAGTTGGTGTGTATCTAGGGTGAAGGTGGGAGCTGTTTGTGAGGGGGAGGGAGGGGTAGTTGGTGTGTATCTAGGGTGAAGGTGGGAGCTGTTTGTGAGGGGAAGGGAGGGGTAGTTGGTGTGTATCTAGGGTGAAGGAGGGAGATGAGGGAGGGGTAGTTGGTGTGTATCTAGGGTGAAGGAGGGAGATGTTTGTGAGGGAGAGGGAGGGGTAGTTGGTGTGTATCTAGGGTGAAGGTGGGAGCTGTTTGTGATGGGGAGGGAGGGGTAGTTGGTGTGTATCTAGGGTGAAGGTGGGAGCTGTTTGTGAGGGGGAGGGAGGGGTAGTTTGTGTGTATCTAGGGTGAAGGTGGGAGCTGTTTGTGAGGGGGAGGGAGGGGTAGTGTGTGTATCTAGGGTGAAGGGAGTGAAGGTGGGAGCTGTTTGTGAGAGAGAGGGAGGGGTAGTTGGTGTGTATCTAGGGTGAAGGAGGGCGATGTTTGTGAGGAGGGAGGGGTAGTTGGTGTGTATCTAGGGTGAAGGATTGAGATGAGGAAGGGGTAGTTGTTGTGTATCTAGGGTGAAGGAGGAAGCTGTTTGTGAGGGAGAGGGAGGGGTAGTTGGTGTGTATCTAGGGTGAAAGGAGCTGTTTGTGAGGGAGAGGGAGGGGAGATGAGGGAGGGAGGGGTAGTTGGTGTGTATCTAGGGTGAAGGAGGGGTAGCTGGTGTGTTTAGGGTGAGGAGAGAGGGAGGGGTAGTTGGTGTGTATCTAGGGTGAAGGTGGGAGATGTTTGTGAGGGAGAGGGAGGGGTAGTTGGTGTGTATCTAGGGTGAAGGAGGGAGATGTTTGTGAGGAGGGAGGGGTAGTTGGTGTGAGGGTGAAGGAGGGAGATGAGGGAAGGGTAGTTGGTGTGTATCTAGGGTGAAGGAGGGAGATGTTTGTGAGGAGGGAGGGGTAGTTTGTGTGTATCTAGGGTGAAGGAGGGAGGAGGGAGGAGAGTTGGTGTGTATCTAGGGTGAAGGAGGAAGCTGTTTGTGAGGGAGAGGGAGGGGTAGTTGGTGTGTATCTAGGGTGAAGGAGGGAGATGTTTGTGAGGGAGAGGGAGGGGTAGTTGGTGTGTATCTAGGGTGAAGGAGGGAGCTGTTTGTGAGGAGGGAGGGGTAGTTGGTGTGTATCTAGGGTGAAGGAGGGAGATGAGGGAGGGGTAGTTGTTGTGTATCTAGGGTGAAGGAGAAAGCTGTTTGTGAGGGAGAGGGAGGGGTAGTTGGTGTGTATCTAGGGTGAAGGTGGGAGCTGTTTGTGATGGGGAGGGAGGGGTAGTTGGTGTGTATCTAGGGTGAAGGTGGGAGCTGTTTGTGAGGGGGAGGGAGGGGTAGTTGGTGTGTATCTAGGGTGAAGGTGGGAGCTGTTTGTGAGGGAGGGGTAGTTGGTGTGTATCTAGGGTGAAGGAGGGAGGAGGGAGGGGTAGTTGGTGTGTATCTAGGGTGAAGGAGGAAGATGTTTATGAGGGAGAGGGAGGGGTAGTTGGTGTGTATTTAGGGTGAAGGAGGGAGATGTTTGTGAGGGGGAGGGGTAGTTGGTGTGTATCTAGGGTGAAGGAGGGAGATGAGGGAGGGGTAGTTGGTGTGTATCTAGGGTGAAGGAGGGAGATGTTTATGAGGGAGAGGGAGGGGTAGTTGGTGTGTATCTAGGGTGAAGGAGGGAGATGTTTGTGAGGAGGGAGGGGTAGTTGGTGTGTATCTAGGGTGAAGGAGGGAGATGAGGAAAGGGTAGTTGGTGTGAATCTAGGGTGAAGGAGGGAGATGTTTGTGAGGAGGGAGGGGTAGTTTGTGTGT